AGAAGTAGTCGTCGTGGTCGTGGTAGTAGTCGTAATAATAGGAATGGACGTCGTACCACAATCAATCGTAGTTGTGGTTGTAGGCGCTGTCGTAGCCCTAATGGTCGTAGCCGTAGTCGTGTTAGTAATAGTAATACTACTACTACTAAACATAGTCACTGCAGCCGTCGTAGTAAAAGTAGTCACAGTAGTCGAAGTAGTCGCGGTACTAGCAGTAGTAACGGCCGTAGTAGTACTGGTCGTAGTAGCAGTAGTTAGCCGAGCAGTAATGGTAGTAATCGTATCAGTGGTTGTCGTCGTCATAGCCGTCGTCAACGGCGACGTCGAAGTAGTAGTCGTATTAGTCGCCGTAGTAGTAGTAGTAGTAGTAGTAGTAGTAGTAGTAGTAGTAGTAGTAGTAGTAGTAGTAGTAGTAGTGGTAGTAGTAGCAGTAGTGGTAGTAGTAGTAGTAGTAGTAGTAGCAGTCGCAACAGTAGCAGTAGTACCAAAAGTGCTAATTAGTGAGAGTAAAGAAATCGTAGTCGTAGTAGTGGTAGTCGTAGTCGTCGTAGTAGTAGTAGTTGTTGCTGTAATAGTAATAGTGCTAGTAGTAGAACGAAGAGCCTACTCGTAGTAGTAGTCGCAGAAAGAATAATCGCAATAGTAGAAGTAGTACTCGTAGCAGTAGAAGGAGCAGTAGTAGTAATAATACTCGCTGTAGTAGTAACGGTAATAGTAGCAATCCTAGTCGTAGTCGATCATCGGTCATAGTCGTAGCCGTAGCCGTAGTAGTAGTAGTAGTAGTAGTAGTAGTAGTAGTAGTAGTAGTAGTAGTAGTACGTATACTAGAAACAGTAGTAATAGTAGTGTGGAAGACTGGTAGAAGTAGTCGTAGTAGTAGTCGTCGTCGTAGGCGTAATAGTATTTGTAATACTCGACGTCGTCGTCGTAATCGTCGTCGTAGTCGTACTCGTGGAGTTCAGGCATCGGCGCTAGGCGAGAGGCATGAGGAAGAGGATGAGGAGAAGGCGGAGGAGGACGGGGGCAAGGCGAAGTGTGTGCACGGGGAATGAGTTTCTGAGTTGCAGCTCGCAGATCATTATGTGTGCCCTGCGGGCCCCATCAATGTTTCCTGGTCTCACTGCCCTTCTTCTTCTTTCTGTGGCTGCTGCTGCATGTTACGTACGAGTGCTTCTTTGCCTGCAGACGCTACGGCCATTGATCACCGAAGCCCAGATGCCTGCAAAAAACGCATGATGAGTATAACGCTGAAGCGAGGGTTATCTCAGCGGACGGTTGACACAGATGCGGTCGCGCCCGAGCCATCCGAAGCGATAGCGGCAGAAAAGGGTTGATAGTACCGTCCAAATCGAACTCGCTCCTGAACTGTTGAGCACGGCCCTCTCGAGTCGAATATGAAGCACGTTCTGGTTCGAGCGCATTAATTTGGAGCACGACTGAGCGCGTCAGCCGAAGAGTCTTGAACATCAACAAAAATCTCGACCGACTTGCTCGCCAACATTAATTGTGATTCGCTGGGGATTCACGCACTTTGAACTTACATGCCGCGACTTCTACGAAGCCCCCAGCCTGCCTTCTTAGAAGGCCCTTCTCTCGCTAACCGCTAACCCCCTTGTGCGCGCCACCAATCCAAGACCCGTTCCCATCAAGATCTCTTTCCTTCTAGACAAGGCGTCGGGTACCAGGGGTCCCGAATCTAAGACGAAGCCAGGACGAGGATAAAGTCGGGCGAGGATAAGTCGAGACTCCCTGAGATCCTGCCGTGGAGGATGCCTCGGGCGCCGCGGCCTTCTCAGAGCGCTCAAGAACGCTATCGTGAGGGCGCCCCAGAACGCTCTGGGGCGGAGTTATCCTCGCCCTAGCCCCGTCGAAAAATCCCATCCAACCATCCTGGGGCGGGCATAGGCCAGAACCTCGAGGCGGGGTCCGGCCCTCGCGGCGAGGAGCCTCTCGCGGAGGCCCAGAGGAAGCGCCGACGAACGTGCAGAACCGATCGGACCTCGAACCTCGAAGCTCGAGCCTCCAGGATCCTCTTCCCTCCTCTTCCCTCCTCCTCCTCCTCCTCCTCCTCCTCCTCCTCCTCCTCCTCCTCCTCCTCCTCCTCCTCCTCTCCCCCCTACTCAGGTCGAAGGGAGAGGGGGCGGTTAGGGCACTAGCCGGCATCAGCTCGCGCAACCAGCTGCGTCTCCTGGCGCGCCCCCCCCCCCCGCGCTGGAGGCGCCAAAAATACACGGAGGAAGGCGCCCGGCGACGGGGCCGAAACCAGCTGCATGCAGCAGATTGAAGGGGCCCCAGGACACACAAATAAATACACACAAACAAAAAACATATTTTCCCATATTTTCTGGGTTTCTGTCTTCCCCCCCACTTCCCATATTTTCCTATATTTTCTAGGGAATCGAGGATTAATTGTGTCTGTGTGTTTATATTCCTCCTGGCAGATGTCCTAACCCTACTTGACAGGGAGGGGGGGAGGTGTGGGGGGGGGGGTAGGAAAGATATAGGGGGAGGGGGGGGGCCTCCTTTGACAGAACTCCTCGCGCTGTGGCAAAAAGACACGACGAGAGTTGAAAAAACCTCCCGCGAAGGGGTCCCACCTCTGGGGGTCGACGCCCCGCGGAAAATCACGACGTCGGCTCTAGGGTTTCCCCACCCCCCCAGGCAGGCCCAGACCCTTTCTGCGCAAGCGAGGCCCTGCATAATACTCTCGTTCCTGCCCCCCTGCACCCGAAAGCGCGGGGGGAGGGAAAGGGGGGGGAACGGGCTTGGGATGGACGGGTATGGTTAGGACGGATAAGGGTAATTCGGAAGATAATGGGGAAAAGAAGTGTAAAGGATAAGGAGTGAAAAAAAAATAGGTGGGAGGGGAGGGAGGCGGAAAATAAGAAGAGGGGGGGGGGGGGGGGTGATAAAGTTTTATTTTGAAGTTTGGTGGGTGAGATGGAAAAGGGGGTTGGAGGAGGTGAGGAGTAGAGGTGGAGGTTGAGAGAGTGGAGGAGGAGGAGGAGCGAGGAGGAGGAGGAGGAGGAGCGAGGAGGAGGAGCGAGGCTACCCCCACCTCGCGCCGAGAGAAGAGATGGCGGCGGGTGGGTCCCCACTTGTTTTTCCGCAAGCTCCGGGAGAAGCTCCCGGTCCCCTGCCTCGGGACACCCAAATACATGCACACAAAGAACCACATCCCCCATATTTTCCCATATTTATATGTATATATATTATGGGTTTTTGTCTTCCCCCCCTCTGCCCATATGTTCCCTTATGTTCCTGGGGATCGACGATTCATTGTGTCTGTGTGGTTTGTTCCTTCCTGAGGGATGCTCTCCAACAGCTGCGACTCGGCGAGGCCCTTCTGGGAGCGGTCGCCGCAGACCCGTACTGCATCCCAAAAACCAGCCCTTCTCACGCTGCGAGAACAACAGGGCGGGGATGTCTTCATAATTTGTGGCCAAGAGCGGCTTCATCTGCAAAAACGACCCGCGATGAGGAGCCGGTCCCGGGGAAAGGGCCCAGATTTCTTCCGGACCCCACAGCGAAAACACGACGTAAGAGGTCCATGTAGATCACACTCGGGGCTCCCCAAAGCAGACCGTCCAATCAACGGAAGCGCGTGGGCGTGAGCGCTCACCGTGTTGGGACTCGGGCCATTATCCGAGGAGGTCTCCCCAGAAAATGCGATGCCCTGACTCTTTTTAATATCGGTTCCCCAGAAATACAGACTTCGAGATCCTGGTGTTGCAAATATTTCACGACGGGCATTTTTGCTCAATTTCGGGCCCTGGTGCCCTCACAAATCGATCCGGCTCGAAGAATGAGGCTGCAAAAATGGGGTCCGGAGCTCCCGTCATGATTTTTCACGACGAGCTGTAACTTCTGTGCGACGGCGGATCTCAGGGGACGCCTGGCCCGCTCCCCCGGGCCAGCTTTGCGCCCCGCGCGCTTGTTGACGGCCCAGTGGGGCACGGCAAGGGCCCCAAGCCGAAGAAACGGCCCAGAGCCTCCCGCCGCGACTGGGCAGACCGTTTGGAAGCTTGATCGCCGGCGCCCGCGTGCGCCTGGCCCCCCGGCGGGTGATTGTTTGGAGTCCCGAAACGGTGCGGTGACAGACCGTGCGGTGACATCGAAATCCCCCAAGACCTCACCGCACGGTCCGTCACCGCACGGTCTTGGGACCTCGGAAGCCCCTGTCGCCCGAGACATCCTCGGAGAGGGACTCGAGTCCCAAAACCGTGCGGTGACGCCGAACCCCCACCGACTCACCGTACGGTATGGTCACCACCCCGTTTGGGGCCCCCCGAAATTGAGCAGGGACGACTGTTCTGGCCTACGACATGTTCTTCTAGAACCCAAGAACGCTCTAAGAACAAAAGCACCTAGAACACAAACCCGATGTGTGAAACCAAGACGGCCTCAGCCAGAAACGTTCTAAAGACAGCTCGTGCAGACCATAAGAAAAAATGGTTTCGGACATTCTCTGGTGGGCTTATAGAGCAGCCAGGACGACTCGCTACTGTTTGAGGTTATCTCACGCACGGCCGGGCTGCGCCCCGCAGCCACAGAAACGCGCAGACCCTACTGGGCACGGAGTTGAGCCTGCGGAGATTCAAGCGCGGTCGCGCTCCACGGGACGATGACATCGCAAACGAAGCGCTGGCCATTACACCACGCCGGCATGCCAAAGAAATCCACCCGCTGCTGACCAAACTCAGCCTGCAGCTGCAAGGCCCTTGGCACTCAAGCATGCAATCTTAGCCGAGACCAGCAAAGGCAAGGGCGACACAGAACGTCAAGAAGCGTACATACCCATCACACTATGCAACACCATCGCCAAGCACCGCTACAAGTTCATGCGCAGCAAGCTCAAAGAGGTGGCGACCATCGTCTGCCTTGGCTCGCAAGTCGGAGGCCGTGAAGAGAGAGGAGCCGCGCTCGGGACCCACCAGATACGTTGCTTATAGCATCTCGCCAAGCGTGCTGGGCAGACTCTCGCGCTACTCTTCGTCGGCCTGAAGGCCGCCCTTTACCACGTCGCAAGACAGCCACTGGTGCGGATCCCGCAGCGCGAGCACGACGGCGACGGCGCATGCCACGATGCCGACATCCCCGATATCCCCCGCCCGATCACGAGCAGCATCCTCGCGGAGCCGGGTCCGCTACAGAAGCGCATCGCTGACCCCGACCTGCAGAACGTCGTCGCCGAGGCCCAGCGACTCACCTGGGTCAGCGCGGCGGGGCAGGAGGACGCGGGGGTCTCTCGCCGCGGGGCCCGACCTGGGGCCCCGCTGGCAAACGCGCCGTTCAACGCGGATTTCGCACGACCGCTCGCCATGATAAGCCAAAGGATGCCACGCGAAGTCCTCGCCGTCTCGATCAAGGATCACATTTCAAAACCCCTGGGCGCCGAATCGCCGCAATCCGACAGGTGGGCCAAGAGTGGCGAGCGACGTCGCGCGCGCGGCCCTCGCTATCCTCTCGAACGGGCTGACCGACGCCCTGGCCCGAACCATGCGTCTGGCGGACCTAGTGCACGACGCACTACGTGCGCTACGACTGCGGCGCCACCTTCTCGACGGAGGCGCCCGTCAAAAGACATCGCGCCAAGAAGCACCTGCCCGCAGAAGACGCCAAATTCTACGCAATCGGATCTCGATGCGACTGTTGCGACGCGGAGTTCCGCAATCGGGCGCGACCCCCCCCGACGAGCGCGCCACCATGGCGCGGAGTTCATCCAAGCCTGCATTGCGAAGCGCGATCCGATGGGCCGCGCTGGCGTTCAGAGGCTCACGGGCGAGGGCACGAATACCATCGATAACCCAAAGAGCAGAGGAGGGAGAACAGATAGGGCACTGCAGCCCACCAGGAAGCGCGCGCAGACCGAGGGCGGCGCCGACGGACCATCTCTGCTCCAACGACCAACCGAATAACTACGGCGCGTGCGGCCCCTCTCCGTGGCCGTGCGGCGCCGTGCGCAGGAGGCCGCAGAGGATGCCGCAGCAATCCCCCCCGCACCGCGGGGAAGTACAACAGCAGCACGGGGCCCCGCCCCGCGCCCCCTGCTGGCCAGCGGGGGTACAGGGCATTGGAGCCTCCTCTCCTCGAGCGTACCCAGGGCGGTCCTGCCTGAGCTGGTTCACCTCGCCGAGGGCCTGGCCACCTGCTGGCGGGCCCTTGGAACCTCCTCTCCTCTCCTGCGGGGTCCCTGGTCGCCAATCTGTTGCGGTCAGGCGGACGCGGCGCCGCGCGACGCGGCAGCGCGGCCGCGCTGGGAAGGCGCTGGGCACCGCGGCGTGCGCCATGGTGTGTGTGTGAGAGTGTGAGAGTGTGTGTGTGTGTGTGTGTGTGTGTGCGTGCTGCGTGCGTGCGAGCGTGCGTGCGTGCGTGCGTGCGATGCGTGCGTGCGTGCGTGGCGTGCTTGCGTGCGTGCGGCGGTGCGGGGGCGGCGGGCGGGCGGCGGGGCGTGCGTGCGTGCGTGCGTGCGTGGTGCGTGCGTGCGCGCGTGTGTTGTGTGTGCGTGTGTGGTGTGCGTGTGTGTTTGTGTTGTGTGTGTGTGTGTGTGTGTGTGTTTGTGGTGTGTGTGTGTGTGTGTGTGTGTGTGTGTGTGTGTGTGTGTTGTGTGTGTGTGTGTGTGTGTGTGTGTGTGTGTGTGTGTGCGTGCGTGCGTGCGTGCGTGCGTGCGTGCGTGCGTGCGTGCGTGCGTGTGTGTGAGTGTGTGTGTGCGTGTGTGTGCGTGTGTGTATGTGTATGTGAGCGAGGAGGACTGCGACGAGGAGGGGGGCGAGGAGGAGCGGGAGCAGGAGAAGGAGAAAGAGGAGCAATGCGAAAAAGAGGGGGGCGCGGACCACCAGGCGGTGCACGAGGATTACAAGGACGATCGCGGCGAGCGAGAGGAGGAGAGAAACATTAAAAGGAGGAGTGCGATGAGAGGGTAAGGGATGAGGAGGACTCGTATGAGGAGGGGGGCGAAGGAGGTGTCGGATGAGGAAGTATGGAACGGGGGAGGAGGAGGGTGAGGTGAGGGGGACCAGGAAGATCAGGATGAGAAGGGTGACGAGGAAGATGCGGAGGAGAATGAGAAGCAGGAGAAGGAGCGGGAGGAAGAGAGGAGGTGGATGATAAAGGGGAGGTACAGTGGAAAGGGGAAGGGCGAGGGCGAGAAGGAGAACGACGTGGATGCGGAGGAGAAGGAAGAGGACGAAGATTCGACGAAAAGCTCGACGACGACGCCGAAAAAACCGGAACTGTGAGGAGCAGCGTTGGCTAACGAAAGTAATGTTTGGGGATACTAGACTCTGGTTCTTGCTTCTTTGGGTGGGTGACACATGCGCTGGACCAGGATTACTTCGAAGGATTCCCCAGCCGCGGCAACGACGAGGAGGGACCTGGAGGCCGAAAACCGCCCACCCCAACGTCTCCTCCAGGAACCCTTCGGGGCCCGGGTGTCTGGAGGCTCTCTCCTCCTGGGCCTCTTGGGCGCAGGGTGCCTAGGTGTCTGGGTGTATGATTGCACCCCCCAGGGCCCCCCCCAAGGCTTCCGCGGGCTCGCACTCGTTTGGGTTTTCGGGGTCGGGTATCTCACGCGCCGATGGGCCCGCCCGCTTGTCCGCCCGTTCGCGGCCCTTTGTCCGGCCAGCCTTATTTCTTCTTTGGTTCACCCCCGTACGCCAGTCAGACGTGCCTCTCGGCAACATCCGCCCCCCAAAGCGCTCGCCAAAAATGACACAGCTGCGCGCCTGGCAGCTCCCAGGTGATTGGTTGGCTGACTGGTGACACTGTGCTGGGTGGCTAGTTGGTTGGTTGGACGGGCTGTCGGGTTTTTTAAGGGGACGTCACGTGGATTCTCAGGACGAGAACTGCTGCCACTACAGACAGTCCGATAAAATTGGTACGATTAGTGGGACTCTCTTGGCATGTCCAGCACGTCCGCGCCCCCCCGCGGGCGGCCACGAAGAGAGCCTCGCTCGCCCGAGTTCGCCGGGTCCGTCGGCACTCCGGCTCAAGAGGGGCGGCCCTGGGGGGCGCCTGCTTCCCCCGCATGCCACGGCCCTAGCGGCAAGACAAGCGGTCGGGATCCCAGTGGAGGCCGCAGCCTCCCGAGTTGTTGAAAGTACTTGGGGGCGGTTGTCGCGTGCCCTCGGCGGGTGTCACCCGAGGGAGAATCCGAGTGACTCGGTGCGAATGAGCCCCAGCGCGGGGCGGAGGGAGTCCGAGCGGCTCCGTGCGAGTGAGCCCCTGCGCAGGGCGAGACCAGTTAAGTCTGGACGCGAATGAGGTTGGGGTATGATTGGGCCTGGGCACATGCGGGTGTGGGCGCGAGTGATCTTGGACGAGTGATTCTGAAGAAGCATGTGTCTGAACGTAAGCGAGCCCGAGCATGAGTGCGTCAACGTCTCCGCGGGGTCTGAACATGCACCAGTTCCGCGATTGTCTTTTCCCGTGGTAAGACAAAAGAGCCCTCTAAGGGCTGGTACAATAAAATTCTAGAAGGAACGACGCGGTCAGGAAAATTCTTGAAGGAACGCTCCGGTAAAGTTCTAGAAGGCGCCTGTTTCCACCCCCCCGTGGCTCTTGCCCCGTGCCCCCGACCGGAAGCCGGCGTCGCAAACCTTCACTGCCCTGAATTTATATTATGCAAGGGTACAGTGGTTCGACAGGATCCGTCCAAACATCATAGCTTGTCACCACTCAGAATGCCCGGATCCGTGAAAAATGCATCGGGTCCGCCCAGGATCCGTAGCAGATCCGTGCCCCGATCCGACGCCCGAGGCCATGTTCACACCCTCCAGTTTGGGACCGTCTGGAATGTTTTTTGGGCCGAGAGTCAGGTAATCTGATGCGATTTAAGGCTTCGGGCCGGTTTCTCAAATCGTACCAACTTACTTAACTGTATGTACTGCTGCTGCTGCTGCTGCTGCTGCTGCTGCTGCTGCTGCTGCTGCTACTAGTGGTAGCAATAGTAGTAGTAGTGGAAGTAGTAGAAGTAGTCGTAGTAGTAGTAGTAGGAGGAGAAGGAGGAGAAGGAGGCGCAGGAGGAGGAGGAGGAATGATGGTGCTAGTAGTAATAGTAATAGGAGTCGTACGCTTATCAACACTACTCCTACTCCTACTACTACTACTACTACTACTACTACTCCTACTACTACGACTACTACTACTACTACTACGACTACTAGTAATACTGCTGCTACGACTGCTACTACTACAGCTACTACGTCTTCTTCTTCGAATACTACTCCTAATACGACTACTTACACAACTTCTGCTACGACTACGACTACGACTAGGACTACGAATACTACTGCTGCTACTACTACCATTACAACAACCACTATGACTAAGACTACGCCTGGGACAACAACAACAACAACTACTACAACTACTACAACAACTACTACTACTACTACTAATACTACTACTACTACTACTACTACTACTACTACTACTACCCCAAAAACTACGACTGCGACTCGTACTCTTGCAACTACAATTACTACTGCTACTACTACGACTACTACTACTACTACTACGACTACTACTACTACTACTACTACGAATACTACTACAACTACGACTACTGCTGCTACTGATACTACTACGACTACTACCTCTAATGATACTACTACTACGACGTCTACTACTACTACTACTACTACTACTACTACTACTACTACTACTACTACTACTAATATACTACTACGACTACTACTACTACTACTGCTACTACTACTACTACTACTACTACTACTACTACTACTACTACTAATACGACTTGTACTACTACTGCTACTACTACTACTGCTACTACTACTACAACGACTACTACTACGACAACTACTGCTACTACGACAACACCTACTTCTACTGCTGCTACGACTACTACTACTGCTACTACTACTACTACGACGACGACGACAACTACTGCCACTACTACTACTACAACTACTATACCTACTGAGTCTACTAGGACTACTACGACGACTACGACTACAACTTGCGCGAAAATTCCAGTACGCCTGCGGCTGAGACTACGACGACGACTGCGACTACGAACCGGACTACGACTACTACTACTCCTACTGCCACTACTACTACTACTACTACTACTGCTGCTACTACTACTACTACTACTAAGAAGTACGATTACGACTACCATTGCTCCTCCTTCTGCAAGTACTTCAGCAACTGAAACAAACACGACTAAGACTACCCGTACGACTC